ACACAGTGACTAACGATGAGGCCACACACGCTCCGCACGTAATATCATCATCACATCCAACCGTGTACATTAACATCGCGAATAGGGTAGGCGCGGCAATCTTGGACACAGGGGCTAGTTGCACTATTGCGGGTACCTTATTATATAATATTCTGGTTTCGGAAGGAATACAGTTTTGCGAGTCAGAACGCACCATTGGGCTTGCGGACGGTTCTCGAAAACTGAAACGTGTACTCATCGCGACAGTTCCCGTGTTGTTTGGAAGTAGGCAGATAAAACTGATTTCCTAGTGTTACCCGAGGAAAAAACTGTAACCTTATTAGGTTGCGATTTTATTAGTAAGGCTGGTATAACACTAGACCTGGCCCAGGAGTCATGGTATTTTTCTGACAACCCAGGGAAGATATTACCATTTGTGCGAACTGTCATTTTAAATAACGCCGAACTGATGCAGGCCGACATCTCTAATGTATCCCTGCGTGATGACGAAGGTAATAGGTTATCACCAGAGCACAGAGGCATACTCAACGCCTTTTTGAAGAGGAGATCAGCCCAGTTTGCTGCCGAGGGACCACCGACAGACTTCGCCATGCATAAGATCAAGGTAAGTGACGACCAGGAGCCTATTGCTTCACCTCCTTACAGGCTGTCTACTGTAATGGATCTGCCTTCACGCAGCCCAAGTGAGGTCCGGGAGAATCAATTAAAAGACCCCGAGGTACGCAAGATCATAGACGCCATGGAGTCTAACGATCCATTTAGGGGGAGAGTATGGGCTGATAAAGGATACGTCGTTGTCGACGGAATATTGTATCGCTATGGGCCTGAAAATGAAGAAAATGAAAGACGCCGCCCTGAATCGGATTATAAGGTAGGTGATATGGTATTATTGAAAACCCAAGGACCCAATGACACAGGTAAAGGACAGACGCCGAAGTTTATTCCCCGGCGAGACGGTCCGTACCGCATCAAGGAGATTGTGGGACTTTCTACTTATGCGCTCGAACGCATCAGTGATGGGGTTTTGTTAGGAAAATACCATGCATCCTTGTTAACACCATTTGTAGGTTCCGTACAAGCTCCTCTTCAGGAGAAACGTAAGAGGGGAAGGCCCCGTAAGGCTAACCCAGCAGCGGGGGCGCTCCGCATGGGTTAGAGGGGGAGGGTGTAACGCACCAGGCGAGCCGAACATAGCCGAGCTAGGCTTCGCTCGCGCAAGCGCACTCGTCGCATCTCCGCACGACCAACGTGCGAATCTTCGAGAAAAAGTCAACACGCATGTGCGAGACGCACGTGACCCGCGACGTTCAAACAAGTGAGAGGCGGCCGTCACACAGCTCTGCATAGTTTTTTCAATTTATTTCCCTTAATCCCAGTTGGAAAAAATATTTTACGAGTTTTTCTTTGTTAAGATTACAATAGTCAGATTATTTTGGATTCGATTACATTTTTTTTGAGGCGGAAATATCATCTAATGACTTCTCTGACCTTAGCTTAGGCGAAAGGGAGAGTCCACTAACTACCCTGTTCCTGTTCTTGCTCTTCGAATCGGAGCCCCGGCAACCCATTAAGTCCTCCGCGGCAATTTGGCCTTTCACGGCTGGCAGGCCTTCCGCGGCTGTCAGGCCTTCTGCGGCTGTCAGGCCTTCCGCGGTTGTTAGGCCTTCCATGGCTGCGAATATATACTTAGAAATTTTTGATAACATAAATTGTCATTACTAATATGTAACCTGAATATTTTTTGAGCATAACAAAGATTACTTACATATGCTCATGTAATACGCTTGGCCGTTCAGCTATGCTTGTAAGTTGTTGCACCTCACAAGCGTAGCCGAACAGACTCAACACACGACCAAAGACTCAGACACATACCCTCATGGCTATGCACTAGAATCTGCATAGTTATAATCTAATCATGTAGTATAAGTCCGGGCTGGCTCGACCGGAGAAATACCACGGCCTCACAGAAAACCGGCGTGAAACAACGCTTGCGTTGTATTTCGTAGTGTGATTGAGGTTACTGGAAACCCAATTACCACCCCATTTCCCGATCTCTCCAATCCCCCAAAAATCCTCTAATTCCTAATCCCCAAAGCCTGGTTACGCACGTGTAACGCTTCTGGTGTTCCGAGCGTTTATGGGCGACGCCGATTGCTTACCCTCATATGATACATCTGCTCGTTTACCAGCTTATCCTACTGCGGTAATTGAATACCAAGAGAAATAGGTGATGTCTTTTTTCTAGTCAACCTATCCGAAAAACAAACCTATAGAACCAAAACCAACCATTATTGGAACTACTATTATCGAAATAAAAGTTGGGAAGGAAAATAAATGGGGTCGTAGCCAATTTACATCCAGTATACTATCTAGCACTTGATAGGGTTCTCAAAATAGAGTCGTTAAGTTTACGGCAACGCCTGGTGATTATCGACAGAGGCCTTTTACTGCGATACCTTCATTTCCTTGCTTTTGTTGGTACCTTCAGTTAACGAGGGTACAGGAACTTTTTTTAGATGTGATGTTGTTCGCGTAATGTGGAAAAGGTTTATGGGCATTTCTTTTTTTGTGTGAAATGTGTGTGTCTGTTTTGTTGTTAGTTGAGGCGCTAGTGGGACTGTGAATCTATAAGGTCTTAAGATGGTTACAATTTTATATTTTGGGTGTTAGAGATTCCAAGGTCAAACTTTTCGCTCTGTCTATAATATCTTCAATAGTATATTAGTAAGAAAAAGATTATCATTCATAGGACACGTATAAATCTATATGGTTGTTTATTTATTAGTAGGTACTTATTTATTTGTTTAAGTTTTATATAATAGCATAAGGAGGATTTCTGCTAACGGCATTTTCTGCCAGTCATTCTTTGGGCAGTGTAGAAATGTACGTATACCACGTTAATTAACTTTTAGTTGTCAAAATCAATTTATTCAAAGTCTTCAAGATAAACTTAAAAATAGCAAAGTTCTAATTGAATTTATCAACGGAGAGAACGAACGAACTATTTGAATAATTTAAAGGTTTTTCTCGAAAGCACTTTAGCTGTTAGTAAGTCCTTAAAATTAAGACGCTATTAATTGCATGAAGACGTTGAAAATACTTACTAATGTTTAGTTTCTTTGAATACAGATAAATGGATAAAAATAAGTGTCTTTTTTGTCTTTTTGACTTCAAAATATTTTAATGTTTCAAAGATTTTGATTTTAAAACTATTTTCATATGACTGTTGTGAAAAATCTTAACAATTACATTTATAGAACTTACTAACGTAATTGTTCGAGGTTACTTAATGAGTTTCAAGCCGTACATACCCTTTATTTATTATGAATAATATACGCTACCCTTGCGCTTCAGTTGCCTCATGTGCTGCTTAGGATCGAAATAAGTAAAAGATTTCAATTTAGTTCACTACGAATAAGATCACTAAAATTGACAATAATCATAGGACCGATAAAAGACGAAAGTCCATTTTTTAAAGTTCTTACTATGTTGTGAAGTCCTGGCACTTCTTGACATTCTTGTTTCTTCATTTTTGCAAGAGAGCTGTAGAACCCTTTGAGTACCGTCATTATAGACACAATTAAAGAACAATAGGTGTGCGGACACCGGTGTCCTCGTGGTGTTGGACAGTTTAAGGAGTTGTATTACATGCATGATATTTCGTTTATGTAAGGTACGTACCGAGGTATCTAGTTTTGTTCTAGAATAACAATTCCGGAGATTGTGAAAACACAAAAACAACTATAATCATAACTATGTGTGTAGATAGAAAAACCTACTTCAAGAAAGTAGGTTGTGGAACGATTTTCAAGTTGGTTCAGTTACTCAGAGGTAGTAAACATGAATTTTTATTTTCCACTAAAATTTTAACCGAGAAGTAGTTGCGTCTAAAAATTTTACGAGCGTTTTGTTATGTTACTCCCAAGATTATTATCTTATAGAAATATGTGTTCTTCGTAAGTTTTGTAGTCAATTGTATTGTTAGATAAATATAGCGCAAATTTTAAAATTAATAAGTACTGGTGTTGAATGAAAAAATAGGTCAAGATAACGTGATCTATAATTATGTTTACAAATATCCATAAGCTACGGTAACCGTTTTCCATTAGCCGGGCTGTAAACTGGTTTATCACCACAAAATAAATATATACCACCTTTATTATCCCTGCTTAGCATGCCTTCGAAGATACAGAGAAGATAAAAGAATACGAATGACCACACATTAAAAAACCGACCTCAATAATGCGCTTAAAGACCAGTTTTGATCTCGAAGGTCAATTTTACACATGACGTAATAAACGACATTAATCAAGAAAATATTAATGATTCACCATCAGCTGCCGCGTCAAAACAACACAGGCTTATTGGGGAACACAATTTGACGGATTGCCTCAAACGAGGATCCAGAACAAATAATAAATGAGGATGCTCGTATTACGTTACAAATGTGTAACATTTACTGGAATAAATGTTCTAAACAAGAAAAGCTTAAAACGTAACGCTTCGATAAATCATACTGTTATTTTCTGTTTATTGTTTTTGAAGACATTGTTGGGAGTCTGTGATGAAATTTTGTTGTAATTTATATGCGTCTTATTATAATTTTAGTAAATACCAAGTTTTATTTCCCGTGCTAAAGTTGTTCTTAGAAATGGCAGTAGTTATTGAATTTACGATATTCAAGTTAACTGTAAATCACGGGTTACTTACGTGAAAATTCTGAGAAAAGCTCTACTAGTTTGGAGCCCCTCCGTGGCTCTTCCTACTGAATATTTATGTTATCTTTCTTATTGATATTTTAAGGGTTGGTAATAGGATTTTTAACAAAAACTTCTGGTTTATAGAAAATGTTTAGTTCATCAAAGGCCTAAAGTAAGATTAGGTCCATCAAAATTGCTAAATAAAATTCAGTCTTGCAGTCTCAATGTCAGTCAATTAAAAATTAGTGATAATGTCTTCTAAATTAATATAATGTTGGTTAATCATTAATTTTTCAACAGGTGCTGGTTTCATGCGACTCTTCGGCACCTACCTAGCGTCTCACGGCTCCTCGCTTGGCACCTACTTCAGATTGCTTCGACCAAGAGGTGTTCCTCTCGACTTTCGTGAGATCCTCAAGAGAGTTAATACTCCTTTCATGTTCTGCTTGAAAGTACCTGGATCTTCTTCACCAGCTGAGGTAAGTGATCATTTTTTTTTAAATTTATTGTATATTATATATATATATTTAGTATTGAGTATGTGATTTATGTTTTTATTTTAGTTTTCTTATATATAAGTTTAATTTATTTTTATGTTGTAAATATATATTATAATCTCGTAGACATAATATCAGTATTTCTAATTTTATGAATATCGGAAATCTACAAAAGTCTTAAACTATGCTTAGACTATTCTTATTGTCTTTTATGTGGATTTATAGGACGTCTGTCTCTCTGGGTGCTATATTAATTTTCTGTAAAAACCTCATTTAGGTCGTTTCAACAAATAGTTCTATTGTCATTGTCGACTAGTTTTCTTTCCAGTTTCACTACTGGTGAATTCGTTAACGTTGTGAATTAAAATTTAAAGAAGATGCTTTTAATAAATTTAAAAATAAACAAGTCTTTGAAGTTAATCAATAAATATAATTAAGTACTTCATTATCTGGTTGATTACGACGCATAAAATCAATTGTAACAATATGAGTAACTATTGTAACAATATGGGTATTTTTTGTATCCTTACGACACGTACTACATTCTATTTATTTTAATAAAATACACTTCTTACGCTCTGGTTCTATTAAAAGCGAAGCTAATTAAGAACCTGCTAAAAAAACAAATTAATAGTTTATAAACAAATTAACCTAATCAGATATTAGCTACAGGTTTCATCTTGTTAACAATTTTTCTTATCCCAGATTAGCTTAAAAATGTTTATTAAGTTCATGATTTTTTCATCCACAAGGCATGCGAAACTTAATTAAAAATTCCTTAAATTAAACGAAATCATTCTTTGTTTATTTTTCCTGAGTATATTTAGGACCTTTGGTATATTATAAAAATGCCTTCTTTGTCAAAACAAAAAGTGGATTGAAAAAGGATCGGTTATGTAAGACTATAAAACAGCACATGAATGCCGACTACACATATGACCAATAGTCTAGCAATTAGACTATCAGGCTGTTGATCTTGATGCATGATTGACTATCATCATCACCATTAGCCGTCCAATACTCCCTCTTAGGCCTCCTCGTCAAACGACAAATCGCCACAACGAGTTCTATAATACAGTTCTACAAGACTCGAGTGAATAGGTTGCTTATGGGACGACGTGCTCCACCGTAGACTGCATCATCGATTACCACCAGGCAAGATAGTGGTCAAACGTCGGCCCATCAAATATATATAAAAAATATGGTTAAGATTTAAAATTGCATACCTAAACCTTTTTATCTTCTTTTGATTCAATCGATGAGAAGATTTGCTTCTATCTCTCCTTATCTTACAGCAGCTTAAAACGTGTGATACACTATATTCACTTGAACTAATCTCAGATCTCAACTCAATTAGCTTAACGTTCAATCTGAACGAGGTATTAAATTTTGATTAGATATCCTAAGCTGAGTATCCGAGGACATCCAGTACTATGTGCTTATCAAATCAAATCAAATTCAAATCAAATCAAAAATGTTTATTTGCTAAAATACGGTACAAAAGGTATTACAGTAAATTTTTTTTTCCAGCGTATCCTGCCGTATATGGCGTGCAAATTTATTATTAAAATTACACTATCAAGATTCTATCGTCTTATCTTCTAAATAGTCCTTAATACTATAGTAACACTTAGATAGCAAAAGTTTAAAAAGCATTTTCTTAAATAATGTCAATGGTAATTCTTGTAAACTATTTGGTAATTTATTATAAATGATTATGGACATACAATATACATTTTTCTTAAATAATTTTAATTTTATTCGTGGTAAACGAAGTCTGTCTTTATGCCGTGTTCGGCTATTTGGTCTGTCTTCCAGAGTTTCAAATAGAATGTAATTTCTTTTTACAAAAGTACATATTCAAAATGTATAGACATGGTAAAGGTAGGATATTTAATTTTTGAAACAGTGGTTTACAGCTGTCTAAAAAATGAGCTCCACAGATTGCTCGAATGCTTTTTTTTTGGGATTTAAAGACTCTATCAACCTCCACTGAGTTCCCCAAATTATTATACCGTAACGAAGTACGGACGATACATAGCCATGATACGCAAGCATTGTCGTCTGATGATTTGTTGTTTGTCGAATCCTTTTTAGTACATATACAAAACGATCAATTTTTGCAACAATTTTATCAATATGTGGTTTCCAGCTGCAATTTTTGTCAACTGTTATACCTAAAAATACACAATTATCCACAGTAGTTAGGTGAGAGTTTTTGTATTGGATGTCTAGATTATTTGTTGTATTTGATTTGTGTGTTTGAAATTGTATTACATTTGTTTTAGCAATATTAATTTGTAAGTTATTTTTTACCAGATAATTAACTGCGTTGTTCAGCGCTAGGGCAGTATCCTTTTCTAAGTCTGTATTATTGTCACTCTTAATGATTAATTGTCTTGATTAATTTATCTGTCTTACACTGTTTAGTTTATGATAGTTTGTAAGATTAACTGTTTTGTGACTGGTTCACTACTAAAGTCTTTGTACCTTCGAGTTTGATTCACGTCTAAAGTAATCGAAACGAGATCGCGTGCGGGGATCTGATTGGTCGGTTCATTAGTGCCGGCCAATCAGAAAACCGACCTAAAACAACGCTTGCGTTATGTTTCATCGTGTGAGTGAGGTTACCGAAGACCCAATTACCCAATCTCCCTAATACCTGAATCTCTAACAATTCTCAAATTCCTAAACCCTTAAAGGTTGATAAACGCACTTGTAACGCCTCTGGTGCTCCGGGTGTCTTTGCTTACCATCAGGTGATCCGCTCCTTTACCGGCTCATCCTATAAAAAAGAGGAAACCTGGGCTTATCATTTCTAATTATAAGTTCGTAATCACCAACTCGCATTAAGCAAGCGTGGTGATTAATGCTCAAACCTTGTCCGTGTTAGAAGAGGCCTTTGGTCAGTAGTGGTCATTTATAGGCAGTTGTTGTGATTTACTGGTATTTTATATGAAGGTTCTCAAGGTCAAAAACTCAATGTCTAGGTTAAGTAAATAGATCTGATTGGCATATTTAACAAAATTACCTTTAATTTTCGTGCCCAACCATGAGGTTTTGGGTTGCAATTATTCTCTCTTAAAACCTTAGAAGTTCAAAACTCGAAAGACTTGAATTTCAATAGCCCACGGACCATCATTTTGAACAATACACTTTAATGACATCGTAATTGGGTTGATTTTTAGTCGTAACTTATTTAAATATAAATAAGTTTTCCTAAGGAACAAAATGTTGTCTTAGATAATGTTTTCTTCGTCGTTTTTAACTAAATTGTTTCGGACAGGAGCAGGAAGTGTCGCGGAGTTATAATTTATTATTTTCGATTTACGTACCAACAAAATTAATTTCTCTTTGATATCACTTTTTGCCTGTTTATTATTATGTTTTCTTTTATATACCTCGTTATTTTACCGTTAGTTTGGTGTTTTGGGGTATTGAGGTCGCCTTTATTTTATGAAAAGTTTTTATGCTTTTGTTTGTTCTTATGGATACGAATTTTTGGTCCAAGTTAGTCACATCAAAGTGTCAAAATTCTAATTAATACTACTATTATTATGATCTAGACTACCTGGCCAGTGGTCGTAAGTGCGATTGCCGGGCAAGGGGTCTCGGGTTCGATTCCCGGGTCGGGCAAAATATTACTGGGTTTTTAAATATTCTAAGTAGTAGCACGGAGTCTGGAATTGTGCCCGGTATATGGCAATAGGCTCACCCCCTATTACATGGGACTCATAACATAAATAGTGAAAAGTGGGTGTTACATTGTACAGTGGTATAATGTGCACCTCTGCCTACCCCTTCGGGGATTAAAGGCGTGATGTTATGATGTTATGTTATTATGATCTCTATGAAAAGTAACTGGTCAAAAATCGTGTGATCCACAAATTGTTGTTTCGGGTTTGGCAGTAATGTGTATGTCAACTTGTATGTTTGCAAACGCATCCCCGATACAGGAGAAAATCCTAGTGTGGGGCAACGCTTTTTAAAAAAAGTAAAAACAAAAGACAAAGAAATAAATTCTTACAATTTTGATTTTATTAGTGGAAAAATGCCATTAATCGATATTAAATCAATTAAATTTTGTGCTTTCGTTGATTTAATTTCATGGTGTTGTCACCATGAACATAATACAAGTCATAAACAACAAAACAGTACAGAAACGCCAATAGTACAACATATACATGTAAACAAGCACTCAATCCGTTTACACTCCCCAACTCCCATCCTTTCTCATAACACAATGAAACTTATAACATATGTAACTAAACCTTACTATAACTATCTACATCCCTTTCTTTGTCCCTTACTATAACTATGTCTATCCCTTTCTTTGTTCCACATCCCTCAAAACACTCACATTTCAAGAGCATCCCTTTGTTGGAACACTTCACAAGTTTGCCGACAACATTACAATTCGGATGGACACCGACTTATTTGTTCTCTGACCAAATTTGTTTAGGTGTTTTAGCTAAGATCAATATAAATACTGTTACAGGGGTCGTGATTAAACCCTGTTCCAATATTGGGTTCATCCTGGTGTTAAGATGATTATAAAAGCCATGATAGGAGATGGATTATAGAAATAATTGGGTCTTGTTTGTTTTGTAAATTGTTTTACAATGCCGCTGTCTCTGGAGTTGCCATTTTGTTTGTGTTGCTTATTAAAGATGCAAAGATTGATGGGTTTGGAGATCGGGTTCGAGTAATTGGGGAGCTATTGTGTCTGATTACCTTTGTAGGGTCAAGGGGAGATAGTATAGATGTGATGTACATTGATTGAGTAAAAAAAAGACTTTCACAAGGAAACGAGAAATGTACCAAAAGGTAAATCCCAAAACTGAAAATTTCAAAAGTGAAATCTTGGATTAAAACTGTGTGTGTTTTATGGGATAAGCCGGCAAACGAGCAGATGGATGATATAATGGTTAGCAATCGGCGTCACCCATGGACACACGGAACACCAGAGGTATTACAAGTGC